CTCCGTTTTCTACTAGTGAGCCCTCTTCCCGTTCTAGGGCTTCCACGCGCCACCGCCTAACCTCCTTCCCCGGCCACCTCCCATACACACCCGGGATCCCACCAAAGAACTAGCGGCAGTAGGAGCAGAGAAGGATCCGGTGGAGAGGTCGCCGGAAGCACCTCGCTGAGACAAGTCCCCATGGCGACCAGGCCGCACCGCAGCTGGCCAACAGAGGTGAGCCGCCCGTAGTGTTTTTTAACCAGCACGTAGTTCTCTAACTCGTCTTTTTTTTCCACTTTAGTGTTTTCTTTAAACTCATTAACCATTTTTTAAAAGCCTTCAACATTTTACAAAAACTCTTGATTTTTTAAAATTCATGGACAAATTCAGTTCTTCTCATTATTGCATTGTATCCGCATATAAATTATAAATATGGAATTGAAAGTTCGAATTGGAGATCAAAATATTTTTTTGCGGTGGTACATAAGACATTCTTATATGTGAATGATTTACCCTTGTTGCAAACTCAAAGTTACATGCGATATATATGCGTGGAAATAGATAGTACTTGAGTAGTGAGATGTGCAGTTTTGTAACATCGTGGTGTCACAGTTTTCATCATTCAAGAAACTACTTCATGTTATTAATTATGCAGTATGTTTACTATAAAATTTATTTTATATGTAACATCGTGGTGTCAAAGTTCTCACATAATTACTGTTTGAAAGCGTTTAGTCCTGTATATGATTCAGGTGTGGCACTAAAAAAATCAGGAAGAAGAAAAGAAAAATCTAAAGGAGAAGAGAAAGAAAACAAATGTTTTGAGCCCGATTAAAGCCCAGCCCAGTGCTACAGAGACTGGAGCAGAGAATCGAAAGAAAACAAATCTGCACGAGTCTCCTCCGCCTCGCCATCGTTCCCCATTCCACCGCCGCCGCCGGCGTCGCCGCACCGCCGCCTGCGCCATGCTCCGCCTCCGGAGATGCGTCCTCTACCACCACCTCCCCACTCCCCTCTCTCCACCGCCTCCTATCCGCCGACCCCGACTCCGGCTTCGAAGTGGAGCACTACCTCGTCTCCACCTGCGGGCTGACCCGAGCGCAGGCGCTCAAGGCCTCCGCCAAGCTCTCCCACCTCAAGTCCCCCGACAAGCCCGACGCCGTGCTCGCCTTCCTCGCCGGCCTCGGCCTCTCCGCCGCCGACGTCGCCGCGGTCGTCGCCAAAGACCCGCTCTTCCTCTGCGCCGGCGTGGAGGGAAACCTGGGCCCCGCCGTCGCCGGGCTCACCGGCCTCGGCCTGTCGCGTCCTGAGGTCGCGCGACTCCTCTCGCTCTCCCCTGACCGATTCCGCCGCAAGAACGTCGTCCCCAAGGTGCGCTCCTACCTGCCTCTCTTTGGCTCCGCCGAGGACCTCCTCTCCGGGGTCAAGCGCGGCTTGTTCCTTCTCTCGGTCGACATGGACCGGGTGGTCAAGCCCAACGTCGCGGTCCTGCGGGAGTGCGGGCTAGGTGCTCGCGATATTGCCAAGCTGCTCATCCAAATGCCGAGGATCGTCACCGCCAGTCCGGAGCGCGCCCTCGCGATGGTCGCGTGCGCCGAACGCATTGGTGTGCCCCGTGGCTCTGGGATGTTTAGGCAAGCGCTGCAGGCTGTCGCGTGCTTCAGCGAGGAGAAGATTGCCGCCAAAGTGGAACAGTTGAAGAAGACATTGCGGTGGTCGGATGCCGATGTCCGCATTGCTCTGTGCAAGTGGCCCACTGTGCTGAGGTGGTCAAAGGGCATGCTGCAGCGCAAGTCCGAGTTCCTCTTCTCTAAGGTGGGCTTGGAACCGGCGTACATTGCTCACCGTCCGGCAATACTCGGTCTTAGCTTGGAGCGCCGGCTCGAGCCCCGGTACTATGTTATGAGGTTTCTTAAGGAGAATGGATTGTTGAGTCATGGCAGAGACTACAATAGTATGGTCTTGGTCAGCGAGAAGGTATTTGTGGAGAGGTTCATACGCCCCCACAAGCAAGCTGCACCACTCATTGCTGAAGACTATGCAGCCGCTTGCACAGGGGAGGTGCCTGCTAGATTCAGATTTACATGAACCAAGAACAGGCTATGAAAATAACAACAGAATTTCCACTCATCGTATTAAGCTGGTAATTCATGATTAGGTGTTCTTTTCATGACTGAATTTTGGTTTTGTTGTGGCCAATGCTTGGCATAAATGATAACTTGATTTCTGAACCCCAATATGTTGATTTCGTCATTTGGTGGAGAAGAAAGCTTGACCTGTGATATATTTTCATGTCAAGTTTATCTAGCATGTTCAGTTGTCATTTCATTGTCTTTTTTGTTCTGTCATATGTCAGTTAGTACTGAAATTGCAGTTCATTGTTTAGTATTTTGATTATACTTCGGAAAATATATTGCTGTTGGGTGTATGTTTACTTTATGCCTTTGATTTCTTGGCCCTTCTTCTTCGAAGGCTGATTAGTTTTGTCACTAGATCTTGTAGTTGACCTACTTTTGCTAGGAAACAATTCAAATTTGAAAACGTAACCAAAGTGGGAGTAGGACTAAGCATGATCAGCAAATGAAGTTGTCTTATCATTTATCTCTTAGGTATAGACTAGTGTCAAAAACGCTCTTGTATTATGGGGCGGAGGGAGTACAATTTTGTCGATAAAGCTGATTTTTCCTGAGCCTGATACTGCCTGTCAAGCGGAGCATGTCTTGTTGTATTTTGGATTTGCCACACTCACAGTATTTGAGACGTGTCTTTGTCTAAAGTTTTACAAATGTATATTGTTCCTCTTGTCTGCCGAGCGGCAACAGGGAGCGGATTGTGATCTCTTGATGAAATCTGCAATGGGCAGCTGTGATGTCCTTCATGTTATGTTCCTGGCTTCCTACCTAGCATGGTCCGTGGTGCCTGGATGATGCCCTGGCATCTGGTGTGTATGTACAGCCTGCGCCTGGACAATGCGTAGTATGTACTGATAACATCATCATCTACATTTTTCTTTCTCTGTAGGCTGATGGCATCTGGTGTGTATGCAGCCTCTTGTTACCATGGTCTCTTGCATAGTATGTACTGATAACATCATCTTTCGCTGTAGGCTGATGCCAAGTAGATCGGACGGGGCGAGGCCGGCTAAGGTCCTTCGCGCCGCCACGGTGTTGTTCCACTCATGGAAGCCTGTGGTATCCTCGTGAGGCGGACGTCGGCCACCTATGTTCCCGGTGTTGCTAAAAAAAAGCAACCAAGGACGGCGGTGGCGAGGCACCTCTGTTGACCTTGGTTCTTTGCAGTGGATGACGCCACCGCTATTGGTCGTCTCCGGTGTGCCGCCGCCCATCTCCGTCGTCCCTCGCCATTGCCCTCCACTTCTTTTGGTCATGTCGTGTTGATCCAGAGTCGTGGCTACCATCGCCGCCCCTCCGTCATCTCAAGTTGGGACTGGCCATCCGACTGCCGGATCCCACCATCAGACACGGACATCCCGTATCTGTATACGGTTGTTCCTCCTTCGATCTTGTGCTCCAGGATCCACTTGGTTGTTTGCTGGTGGAGCTGGCCTTCCTGTCGCCGGATCCGATCACCCCCCTCGCGGGATCTGTTGCTCCCGCGCGCCCATTCAGCTACTGCTCGCTCGGGATCGTCATCGCCATTTTGGCCGTTCAATCACCTATTGGAGGCTCATCTTCTGTTGGTGTTGGTCATTGGTTGCAGGTTGATTTCTGCCTCATCTTTTGCTAGTGGCAGTGTTGGTCGTTGGTTGTAGGTTGTTTTCTGCCCGGGGCGAACCTCGCAATGCCTCCCTCTTGGTCGTCGGCCGTGGCATGCTTTGTCCCCGGCGGGAGTGTGTTCCCCGCTCCCCTCCGGTCGATGCCCGTTTCTTCATGGTCCTCCTTCTATGGCCTAGGTCACGGTCGATCGAGCTGCATTGGGCTGGTGGCCTCTTCCTCGGTGATGTTGTACCTAGGCTTCTACGTGTGGTTCTATCTCAAGGCTGATGGCAGATATGTCCATTTGATGTTTCTCGCTTTTTTGCCTCGTGTTGTAGTCTTGCTCTAGCTAGTTTAGTATTGGTCGTCTCAGGGTTGTGGATCGATCGGGTCAGTGATCTTTAGGTCGTGTCGTTTTGGCGCTGTACTGGTCATGCCTTTTTTTCTCTTCTTAATGAATATGCATGCAGCTCTCTTGCATGGTTCAGAAAAAAAAAGTAAATTTAAAATGGTTAAAAGTCAAACATTGTTGAAGCCACATGCCGGCCGCAAGAACCAATGCCGGCCGCAAGAACCACCCGTCGCCACATCCTTCGCTGCCCACACGGCCAAGGAACGCGACCACCGCCACCACTACAAGACTCACCCGGAGAGTCAAACGGTAATCCCGGCATCCCAACCCGCACCCCTCACCAATGCCATAAATTTTTTTGACGAAAAGATGGCCATAGGGCCATATTCCATTGATTAATCACAAGGAGAAATACAAATTGCAGTAGAGCTACAGTTAGGGCACCAATGCCATAATGCAAGGCCACTGTCAACCACAGGAGAAGCACTGCCTCCCCCCACCATCATGCTCATCTCCACCTTGACTTGGACGGAGGAGGCTAGAATACAAGTTATCCCGACTCCCCAGCTTCCTACAGAGGGTGGTCAAGCCCAACGTGGCCTTTCCTACAGGAGTGCGGGATAGGTACTCGTGATATTGCCAAGCAGTTCATCCAAATGTTGCTGATCACCACCGTCAGCCTAGAGCGCGTCCTGGGGATGGTTGCATGCGCCGAACGCATAGGTGTGCCCCGTGTCCCCAGTTACGTTGTGACGTTTGGTAGCACACAAAGTGTTCCTCCGGCTAAGGAGTGATGTGGCGCAATGTCTTGTCAGTTTCGAGCTGGTGTTCCCACCATCCTTCTTCAATATCATGACGCACGTCCTAGTTCATCTAGTCGACGAGATTGTCATCCTGGGGCCCGTATTTCTACACAATATGTTCCCCTTTGAGAGGTTCATGGGAGTCCTAAAGAAATATGTCCGTAATCGCGCTAGGCCAGAAGGAGGCATCTCCATGGGCCATCAAACAGAGGATGTTATCGGGTTTTGTGTTGACTTCATTCCTGGCCTTAACAAGATAGGTCTCCCTAAATCGCGTTATGAGGGGAGACTGACTGGAAAAGGCACTCTTGGAAGAGACTCAATAATATGGAGGGACGAATATTCTTGGTCTCAAGCACACTACACAGTTCTACAGAACTCTACCTTGGTGACCTCGTATGTCGATGAACACAAGAACAGTCTGCGCTCCAAACACCCGGAGCAGTGCGACGACTGGATTACATGTGAACACATCAGGACTTTCAGCAGTTGGTTCGAAACACGTCTCAGAGGTGACAACACTGTTTGTGATGAGTTGTACTTGTTGTCCAGGGGACCATCTTTGACTGTATTGACTTACAAAGGATACGAGATAAATGGGAATACATTTTACACGATCGCCCAAGATCAAAAGAGCACCAACCAAAACAGTAGTGTCCGCTTTGATGCAGGAACCGAGAGCGGAAAGGATACATATTATGGTTACATAGTGGACATATGGGAACTTGACTACGGACCTGATTTTAAGGTCCCTTTGTTTAAGTGCAAATGGGTCAATCTGTTAGGCGGCGGGTACAGATAGACCCACAGTACGGAATGACAACAGTGGATCTGAAAAATCTTGGGTACACTGACGAACCGTTCATCCTAGCCAATGATGTGGCACAGGTTATCTATGTGAAGGACATGTCTACCAAACCGAGAAAAAGAAAAGATAAGGAAGCGAATACATCATACGATGAGCCAAAGCGCCACATAGTTCTTTCAGGAAAAAGGGACATCCTGGGAGTGGACGGCAAGACAGACATGTCTGAAGATTATGAAAAGTTTCATGAAATTCCTCCCTTCAATGTCAAGGCTGACCCAAGCATCCTGATAAACAATGAAGATTATTCATGGTTACGGCGCAATAAGCAAATGACACAAGCGAAAAAAAAGTGAAGACTTTCTCCCGCAACTTTGTAACACACGAACATGCTACCATTGTCCGTTTTGTACATGCACATGCTATGTGGGTGAAATTATGATACCATCCCAACTTTCAAATTTTTCAGAGTTCATTTGAAATGCTTTCATGTCTTATGGTTCGGCCCTCGTAATACCATGACCATTAGTCCCTGGCCCATGCCAACTTTCAACTAATGGCACTAACAGAAAGTTTATAATTTTTTTAAAACTAATGGCACTAACAGAAAGTTTATAATTTTGCTAACCTAAAAGCAAACCGAATTAAAAATTAAAGCAAAAAACAAAAGAAAATAAATAATGCAAAAAACAAATCAAGAAAACAGGAAAAAACTATTTTTATAGTAAAGTTAATCATAAAATAAAATAAATAAAACAACAAAGAAAACAAAAAAAACTAAAAAAGTGTTTTCAAATTTGAAAACTAATGGCACTAACAGAAAGTTTATAATTTTTCTAAAACTAATGGCACTAACAGAAAGTTTATAATTTTGCTAACCTAAAAGCAAACATAATTAAAAATTAAAGCAAAAAACAAAAGAAAATAAATAATGCAAAAAACAAATAAAAAAACAGGAAAAAACTATTTTTATAGTAAAGTTAATCACAAAATAAAATAAATAAAGCAACAAAGAAAACTAAAAA